TGTGTGTGTGTGTGTGTGTGTGTGTGTGTGTGTGTGTGTGTGTGTAAAACATGAATTTATTCTGAAGGCTTCTCCCCCAGGAACAATTATTCAGACCAAAGTATTTCCTACATAATCCACAGAGGAAGCAGAGCCATTGAAGACTACTAGAAATTTGTGATTTGTCCACAGTCAACGAGGAACTGGTTTTCAGCACATATTGTTCATATATGACTGTTCAGCTGCATCCTTTCCCACAGTCTTAAGTGTGAGCACTCTGGGAACCTCTGGAAAAGTAAGCTCAATTTCCCAACTTCCACGATGAGTCATGGGGAAGGTTTTTTTGTTTTTTCATAGCTTTCTATCATTTGGAGACAAGGCAAGTAAATGAAAGAGCTGTCAACAGACTATCTCCAAATCCGTTTCTAAGACCAAACTGCTCCCCTTGTTTGTTTTAAAATCCATAATGATTTAGAGACTTTCAAAAGCAGAAAGTTATTACATTCTTAAATATATTAGTGAATGACTGGTATGATGTTTACATTGGCAATGTTCAAGACTGGAGAGGTGTCATGAACAATTAATTACCCATACAGACACACCCTGTTGATATTTAGTGCTCAGCCCTGAGATTTGAGTTTAAGTTTATGAGTAGCAGACAATATTTTTGTTGTTCCTTGTTGAATATCCAAACATCATATTCAATAATAGTCAATAAATAAGAATGACTAGATGAGCAAATTAACATATTGAGATTTTTTTTAAAAGAAAAAGGAAACTTTACAGCATGCAGAAAGTGCTTCTAAACTCTGCACACACAACTGGATCATCATAGAGACATATGAACATGGTGGACAGAAAGAGAAGTGTTATGACACATGACTGTCATCCCAGCACTTGGAAGGCAAAGGAAGTAGGATGAGGAATTCAAGACCAACCTTAGCTATATACTGAGTTTAAGGCCAACTATGCCTACCTGAGACTTGTCTCGAAACAACAACAAAATAATAATAATAAATAAAATGATAAGAAGAAACTCTCAGATTGTGAATTGAACATTCTGAATTTTGTTAAAAATTTACTGCAAAAACAGTAGATTCCAGGATACAAACAAAAGCATCTCAGTCACCAGGATGGTTATTTTTAATTGTCCTCATGGCATAGTCTAGCACCACCTGGAAAAAGAATCTCCATGAGGGACTATCTAGATAAAGTTGGCTTTTAAGCATATATGTGGATAACTGTCTTGATTATGTTAATTTATGTGAGAAGATCCAGCCCACCGAGGAAAGTGGCACCCCTGGACCAGTGGTCCTGGGTTGTATAAAAATGCAAGCCAGGAGCTGAAGAGATGGCTCAATGGTTAAGAGCACCGACTGAGTTCAATTCCCAGCAACCACATGGTGGATCACAGCCACCTATAATGAGATCTGGTATCCTCTTCTGGCCTGCAGGGACACATGGAGGCAGAACACTGTATACAAAATAAATAAATCTTAAAAAAAAAAAAAAATGCAAGCCAGTAAGCAGCATTCCTCCATGGTCTCTGCTTCAGCTCCTGCCTCAAGGTTCCTGCCTTAAGTTCCTGTGCTGAATTCATGATGGACAACAAGCTATAATCAGAAATAAACTCTTTTCTCCTCAAGTTACTTTTGGTCATGGAGGTTTATCACAGTAATAAAAGGCAAATTAAGACAATCATGTATACCACACCCCCCTAAGTCCCAAGGAATATTTCAGAAGATGGGGTGGGAAGTACGAAAGATCTGAAAGATAAGTGAAGGGCTATGAAACACCATTCCATAGACTTGATACAGTCATTGTAATCAATAACTCACAACTCTAGCTACCTACACTGGGCCCCCACGACACCAGCCTCACTAACCATCAG